CGCCTGGAGGACGAAGCGTCTCGGCCAGCGATCCCAGCAGAGATCGCATGGCGACCGAGCGACCCCTAAAAGGGGCGACCGTAGCTTGAGGGCCATTGCGAGTACGTAGGGTGGAGGCCATTGCTACGGACGGAACAAGGACGCTACGTTCGGGGCTCCCAGCCTTACTACTAGGAGCAATGTTCGCTACTAGGAACAAAGGGCATCGCTACAAGGAGGCCATTGCTAGTAGGTTCCTTTTGCTAGTAGGTTGGAGGCCATCGCTAGTAGGTTGGGGGCAGAACCTGGAACCATGCCTTTCTCCGAACATTTCGATCGCGGTCCGTGCTCTTCTTGTCATGGGTTTTCTTTCTTCTCTCCAGCAGTTCGATGAACTCATCCAAATGATCCAGGGTTCCACACCTCTCTCCAAATCCACACCTCTTCTTGGCCCAGTTCTTCTGTACTTCGCTGTGCGCAAACAAACATGGGATTTGTAGCAGAACTGATCCCTGGCATCCTCCATGATGGGGATTGGGCTTCTGTGAGCGGCTCCAGTCTGCAAACTCGGGCCGATGTTTCACAAACAGACCATCGGTGACGTCATACATTCACAAACAAGGCATCATGGAGACTTCCCTTGCTTCCCTAACTACAGCTCTGCCCAGTTTGCCTCCAGAATCACTATACTGTACTACCTTACCCACCACTGACTTTCAATTTCCAAAGCACCAACGTCCGGCACCCTCCGGCACCCCTGACCCCGCGGAGCGGTCAAACCGCCGGGTGCTGCCTCCATCATTTCCTTCTGACACGCACGGCTCGCGCGGTCCAACTCGATGTTCTTCCCTGGGTGAGATGAGGAACACGCGACATCACGCCGGGACTCGATGTTCTTCCCGGGCCCTCCCGGGTCGGGGGAGAAAAGTCGCCGAGACTCTCCGTGGACTCGCCGTTCCGTCCGTTCGGTCCGACCGATCGGGATCGGTGCCGAACGCGAAGCAGCTGATTCCAGGTTTTGGGTGGAAAGAGCCCAGCAACGAGGATTGAACCACGTGTCTTTTCGGGGAACGGCGCCACGGATGATAGATGATGTGCTTCCAACTGAAATAGGAGCTTTCTTTTGCTTGGTTGAATGCCGAAGCACCCTTCTTTGTATGGAATCTTTTGGACCCACCCATATGTTCAAGTCTATGCTGGTGTCTTTTGGCTACACTCCGTGGCAAAAAAGACAAAGAACTCCTACCGGTACCTGACTTCTATCTTCCAAAAAGCCGTTCCAAATTGATTCGTTTCTTTTTCAGTATCTATATGTATACTTATGTTACTAAAAAGACATGGACTCGCCGACTCGCCAAACACACGCAATCAAGACTTCACATGGATTCGGTTCTTCCGGTTTGAAATCACCGGAAGACAATCTGAGTTGGGGTTTTCGCGGCAAAAGGGATTTCTTTCGAAGACCAGCTACGGTTTCTTCCGAGTTTGGGGTGAAGTGCTCAACAATTGCCCAGTGGATCCCAGGCAAACCACGAGTAGTGGAGGAACCAGGGGCCCTCGTTCGGTCGGGTTTAGTCGAACTGGAACCACTGGGACTCCCAGCGACATCGTGGGAACTGCCTGGATGGTTTGGGTGGTGTATCATGACAAGTTTCACCGGCTGGAGATCTTCGGAAGGTACGTTGACGAAGGATGAAGCAAACGGCCACAGTCGACATAGGTGCTTCATCTGATCTGCTTGATTTATTCCCACAAGCTTACAAGCTTATAAGGTGGTCAGAGTGTCCGCTGGCTTGATGTTCCTGACGTTTCCGGAAGCTAAGCCAGGATTAAAGCTCACAGTGGGTGAGTCTCTACCAGGACAATGCAGATTCAATTGGAACCTGATGGCATGGACCGTGGTTTTCAGGTTCCATGTGGGTCTCCGGTTCCCGCGAAAGCAACGCACCATGCGCGTTGCTAAATCATTCTGTCGTGCCCTGCTTCAGCAAAACGGTTTTGGACAATCCAAAACAGGGATAGCCGACAGAACGATCCAGAAAATGGACCAATTGCCATCAAGAACCACGTGCCGCCCAAAAGGTCCCACGTTTTGAGATCCCTCACGTGAGAGTTCGAGGTTCTCTTTCCGCTGCATGGCAAGGCCCTCCCTGCGGGGCAAGCGGAGCGGGCAAGCGCTGGAGCGGAAGGTGATAACCCTGGGACTTCCTGACAACCCCACATAGTGCCAGCAGGTGAAGATCATTTCATGGTCTTGCAAACCAATTCATGATCCTTTTGACTCCTTTTTCGAGAAACAGACCTCTTGAACCAGTCAGAGGTCCCACCAGAAGCCGCGCCCGAACTCTCTGCGGTCTCCAGGAACGGCGTGGACGGGTGACCTGTCTCTCAACGCTCCCACTTCTGCGAGGGAAACGAGTTTGGCAACGAAATCGTTGAGCAGAGGGCCGAGGGGTTTTCTATAAACCTGGTTGCTTCCTGGTTTGCTTCCTGGGTTGCTTCCTGCGGTCGACTTGCTTCCTCTTCTGGACAGAATGAACAGCGTAGCACATCTCTTGTGCCTGCTTCGCACCTGAAGGCCACAGGAAGCGATCCAAAGATCGCCCTCACTACCGCCGCAAGGGGGCGGTGTCCCCATGAGCACAAGGGCGGAACTGGACTTACTTGGAGTGAAAAGGAAGCGAAGAAAAATCTGGAAAGGGGAAACACAGGAAAGCAACACCAACCATCAAACAAAGTCATGTTTTCTCCCAACACACACTTCAACGATTTCCGAAAGCAACACCAAACCGAACATCCGCTTCGCGTCTGAAGGAGTCAGAGTGTCCGTTGTCTTCGTTCAGCTTCGCGTCCGGCGCCGTGCGGTGCCGAGGCCGGGCCTCGCCGCACGCAACTGCTCCTCGAGGCTCTTGAAGCACTCGTGCGCGGAGGCGTACCTGGTGACGTCGAGTCGAGTCGAGTGGAAGACGTCTCTCGATGCGGATCAGGGATCAGGGTGACATTTTTTCCGGTGATGTGGCCGTACATGAACTTCAGCTGGAAAAGGAAGAGGTGGAGCCTCATGCTCTTTAAGGCAGAAAGAGTCGCCCTGGTTAAAGAATCTATATGTTTCATCCAACTGAGTCACGGGTTGCGGGTTGGAGTGTTAGGAACTGATCAGAAGCACAGAATGGACATCTCACCATGTTGCGAATGGCAACTCCATTGCTCTTAGGTGGAGGCCATCACTCTTAGGTTGGAGGCCATCGCTAGTAGGCTGGAAGCCATCGCTAGTGGGTTGGAGGGCATTACTCTGAGGTTGGACGTGTTACGTGTTTTTCCAACTCCAAAGGAGTTCGCTTTTCAGGTCTCCCTGGCCACGTCTTATGGCCGGGTCAAGAACTGGTCCGAGTCCGATTGCGCGGCGCTAAAGCAGCTTTCGGTGTGTTCCAGCACCCACAAGGAAAGAACAACACTCCCTCAAAAAGGACCATGAACAACATTGGAACAACCAGAAACAAGAAAGACATGAAGAAACAAAAGCTATTCTGAAAAAAACATACCCAATGTGGTATGGTCAGTGTGGCTGAGCCAGAATTGAAAGACCCAAATGCAAAGCAATGAGACCTGTTTACAAGGACATCAACCGACTATAGTCACTAGTTTTATGTGAACTACAACCTCTGCTCCCCTGTGAACATCCATCCGTGGTGAAGCCCGAGAAAATCGGGGCAAGATGATCCAAACACTCCCCGACCTTCTCTGGGAGGTTCGAAGGCGTTTCTGAGTCCGGACACTGCTTGTTAAATACCCAACCAGGTGGTTTGTTTTCACTCCACTTCCACCGTGAGTCGGGAGGACGGTCCGTCGGTCCCCCCCAAAAAGGCAGGCTGGAGAGATCCGGGTAGATCCTACAAAGCTGAAGTGGCTAAGTGGCTTATGAATGAAAGAGAGCAACACCAGTAGGAAAGCTTAGTAGGAAACCTGGTCTCATTCACAAGGTCATTTTGTAAAGACTTTAGTCATTCATGAGACCTTGTCACGAAACCTCTTGCTTTGAACTTGGTTTGTTTCTTGAGACCTCTAGACAGGGCTCATCTTTTTCCTTCCTTCCTCTTTTTGAATGATGTCTTTTAACCGCTTTCAATTCTGTTCCTCTCATCGAGAAGTCTGGAGTTCAATCCCTTCAGTGCCACCGACGGTACCACCTGTGAGCGGGGGAACTTTCTTGCCGCCAACGGGAGAAGTTCTGATCCGATTGGGAGAAGTTCTGATTCTCTTCATGGATGCAGGGCGGCCATCGAACCACGACAACAAATCGATATACTCAACCTCCCCTTGAAGCAGGACAACCACCCCCTTTGAAGGAGATCATTTCATCATTGAGTTTGGAGCCAGAACTCCATGAATCCTTGCTGTCGATCCATGTCCGGAAGCGTCCGGCGCTCGGTTCGCTCCGGTCTATGTCCGCCACCTCGCTGCTTGGAGCCGGGCTCGGGTCGAGCGGTTCGCTCGGTTCGCTCCCTCTTGGAGCGACCCGTGGGCCGTGAGATTGCTGGGTTTCGCGGCGCGTCATCCGCGGCGCTTCTTTCACATACGCTGCGGGTATTTTGCCGAATTGTGTTGCCGCCTGATCAAAAGAAGCAAAGCAATGTCATATATATATATTTAATATATATATATATCTATATATCATATACATATATATATACATAAAGGTTTCGGTTCAAAAGAAGCCTTAGAGGTTTCTTCGAATACCTCGTTACTCTTTCACTTGTGCCCTTGTATCCAATCACGAGTGTGTGGCGTGAACCAACCTGGCATCGGAACCTCCGACGACGAAGATCCATTGGGCGTGCACAGATAATTGCAGCCCGACATCTTGGCCTTGAAGTGCCATTGTCAACATTAAGGCAGACCGCTGACTATTTGGAATCCCATCATACACGACCAAGGTACACCCTACCAATGTCGTGGCAATGCAGCGGCTGTCGGCAATGGAACAAGCAATCAGCCAATTTTTGCAATCAGTGTGGAGTTGGATGGGACCATCCTACTTCGTGGCATCGTGGATCATCTTATGGAGTGGAGGCATCATGGCAGCCATGGAACCAGTGGCCGCGACCCAGGTCGCCGCGCCGTACTCCCACACCTCGTGGGCGGGAGCGCAAGGGAAAGAACCATGCAAAAGGCATGGCAAAAGGAAAAGCCAAAGATGCAGGGAAAGGGCCAACAAGCTTAGAAAGCCAAGTCGCGCCTCCCCCGGCATACAGTCAGGCAGACTTTGTGCCGCCACCGCATGCTTGGCCTCCTGCCTATGGCCATGCTCAAGCTTCGGCCCCAGCGACAGCTCCCGCTTCTTCCCAACAAGCCAGCGACTTCAAAACGCTGATCGATGCTTTGAAGACTTGCCCAGATTTTGGTCAAGCTCCGGTAGCTGTGCGAGAGATTGTGGCCAAGTACGACAAACAAAAGCACAAGCTCACCACCAAAGAGCTCCACAAGTCGGCATCAGCTCTTGGTGGGGCTCGGAAGAGGTTGGCTCAGGTCCAGGAGGGCAGGGCTCAGCACATGGAGGCTTGGAAAGACTACCTCGAAAAGTCCACCGAGCGTTTCAAAGAGAATATAGCCATCTTCAAGTCCACCATGCAGCAGTTTGCGGAAGCCGAGATGAGCTGCCTTGCCGAGATACACCAAGCCAGACAGGCCATCGAAGAGCTGATGGAGTCCGACCGCGGGGGTATGCCCAGCGAATTGTCCCCTGCAGCGCTTCAGGCATACGAAGATATGAAGGCAGAGATGGAAGAAGATGCGGACGAAGAAGAAGCAGCAGATACGCCAAGGACAAAGAGCGTCAAGAGACCAGAAATTGCCTACCAGGATTTGGATGTGACAGTTGGCACAATGCAGAAGGCTTTGATGGATTGCATGGAGTTACTCAAAGAAGCACCGATGCAGAAGCGCCAAAAGACTCAAAACAACGAGTCCAAGGCAGTTTTTGGATAGGCCTAAGCTGTGGTTCCCATGCTCCTGCTGGTGAAGTTGCACAACATGAGCATGCCAGTGACGGGCCTAGACGCAATCGAAGGGTAGATTTTTCACACCATCTTGAATTAAGATTCTTCCAGCCTAACTTGCCAATTGCTACAGGGTTTGGCAATTGCCTTGATTGTTTAGTGCCTGTGAAGTTTTCTTGTAAAGATAGGATCTTACAGCACGGTCTTACCACTTGTGAAGCTTGGGTTCATCAATTTTGTCATACCATCGTCGGTGATCCCACATTCCTGAGTGTGTTTCAAGCCGGCCAAAGAGCAGTTGACCTTTCCTTCGCAGTGCACGTTGACCGTGTGCTCTGCTCTTGTGAAAGGATCCGTTTAGGCTTAGATGTCTTGACTGGAAAATCCCACAGCCCCCAAGATGGCGTGGGTAAGAAAGGGACAAAAGAGCCAATGGGCCAAAAACAAAACATACAAGAAAGTACTGAATCCCGACCTAGGGTCGGCGAAAGCTATGTGAGCATAGCAAATGTTGGCCAGCCCCAGGCCCCCTGTAGTGATACTAGTTGTGTTGTAGTTTCAGATGCCGTTGCTGCCATGGACAGCTGCGCAGTGCCGGTTGAACCCGTTGTGGTATCTGATGCCCTCAACAGTTTGAATGATGCTTGCGCTGCTATGGGTCTTGCAGAGCAGAGCCGGGGCAAGCCGGTAATCTTGGCCCTTGATCACCTGATTCCTGGTCATGACGAAGATGATTTGAGCTCCCAGAGCTACCGGAACCGTGCGCCAGTAGATGAACTGAGGGGTTCCAGCCACACTGTACAGCCACTGGCCAAGGATTTTTCCCCTCCATTTTTGTTTAAAGATTCTGAGATTTGCAATGCCAACGTTGCTTGTTTTATTGAAGATTCCTTCAATTTTGTGTCTTGGGAACACCAAAACAGACTTGTTGATATTCCTTTTCAGCCTCAGATGGGACATGCTGTTGAGAGGGCGTTCACTGTTGACATATTGAGCCAGTCGCTTCCTGACCATGTGATTTGGCATGCTGCTACTGTCGCGGCCCTTGAAGTCACTCCACTTTGGACATGTGAGGATATTGCAAAGGTGCACATGTTTACTGATGGGTCATTCAAACGGCAAAAGGACGGGGCTGAAAGCGCCACTTGGGCTCTTGTCGCACTTGGTGAGGTGCAAGCATTGCCCGGTTGCTTGACTAGCCATGAACCCAAGCTTGTGCGCCTTGGAGTTGCTAGTGGGAACGTGAGCCTTGACCAGCGCTTTCCTTGGCCCAAGCCTAAACTCAGCGCAGCCATTGCAGAGCACATGGCCCTTTTTTTCGCGGCTCTCTTGGCTTGTAGTCTCCCGACTGGTGTTGCTGTTGAGATTTCCTTTGACTCCGAAACCGCCGGTTTCTCAGCAGCTGGCCTGGCCAGTGCTGCTGCTGACAATCCGCTGGCTGGCTTTGTGCGCTCGCTTGTTTTGCATGCTCACAATCGCCGCTCATTGTGCTTGACTCATGTTCGCGCGCATAATTCGCATGCTTGGAACGAATGTGCTGATGTGTTGGCGAACGCCGTACGTCCTGACTCAAACCTGATTGCGTGGCAGCATGACCCCTCTTTGCTTGACTCTTTCGTTTTCCCTGAGGATAGTTGGCACTGGATGTGGGTTTCCTCGTTGAGAGATGGTGATTTGCCAATGTACCCCCCCGTGATTAAGCATGATTCGCGATCTTGTTTTCTTGTTGAACCCCGACAACTCTCAAGTTTGTCTGTGCCGCGGCATCTTGCTCCCATAGGCTTTGCTGATGCAAGCGCCATGCGGTCTTTTCGCGTTGTCGGGAAGTGTGCGACTTACAACGCAATGACCCTGAGGGAAGAAGGCAAGATTTGTTTAACAGCTGAGCAGTTTCACAAGTTGGGCTGTGCTGTTGTTGGCATCCAAGAGGCTCGTGGAAAGCACACTGGCCTCTCGAGCGTTGGTGCGTACATGCGCGTTGTTTCTGCTGCTGATGACAGGCGTGTTGGAGGATGTGAACTGTGGCTCAGTAAACGGATCCCTTTTTTTCGAGATGAGGAACGCAACGTTTCCTGGGATTTCACTTCTGTTTGCATCCATGTTGCGACCCCACGCTTGTTACTCACTACGGTAAAGGCAGACACCGTTACTGTTGCGTTTGTCGTTGGGCATGCGTTGAGCAACAGTGATCACACGGATGAAGCGTGCAATGCGTGGTGGGACCAACTTGAGGAAGCGCTTGCTGAGATACATTCTGATACTCCTGTTGTTGGCTTGTTTGATGCTAACGGTCGCTTTTTCAATCGTCGCTCTCATCACGATTTGACTCACCCCGCTGATCCAAACGCACTGAGGTTGGCTGGTGTGGTCAAGTCAAAGAAGGCAGTGTTGTCGGCCTCTTTTGATCAGAGTGGTCAGCCGATCATCACTTGGAAGGGGCCTAACAACGCGCAAGCGTGTTTGGATTACATCATGTTGCCCCATAACTGGAGTGGGCCGGACAGCACCACTGAAACTCTTGACATGTTTGAAAACTGCATGAGCATCACTGACCATGTGCCCTTGACCTTTACGACCCTGGGTGAGCATGAGTGTACTGTGAGCTCTTGTCGGAAGTTGGATCCCGGTTTGGATGTTGGCCAGATGTTGACAAAGGAAGGGCGCGTAAAGTGTGAGCAAATACTTGATTCTGTGCCTGCCATCCCCTGGGCTACTGATAGCACCGATCATTGGTCACGGGTGTCAGGCTTCATTTTGCAGCGATTGAAAGAGGAATTCCCGCGGCCACAGCGTCGACCAAGGAAGTCATGCATTGGCCATGAAACTTGGCAGCTTATCCAAAAACGTCGCGCTGCCCGCCGAGACATTCATTGTTTCCACAAAGCTGTACACGTTACTCGATTGGCTTCTGTTTTTGTGCGTTGGCGTGAGTGGACCCATGGTCAACATGTCGTGCGTCGTGAAAGCTTGCCGTCCTTCATCAAGCGCATGAATAAGGCTATTGCTGTCGCCTCTTACAGAATTCACAGTACGACCAAAGACCTCAAAAAGGCACTTGTGGCAGACAAGGCTGACTTTGTGTTGCAACTTGTTGCTAACCAGTTTACACTTGGTCCTCGGGCTTTCCATGCTTGTTTGCGGCAAATGACGGGAAGTCGCAAAGCGCGCAGGCCTAATGCCATGCAAGCACTTAAGCGGCCAGATGGTACATCCGTCAGGTGCCGTGCTGAAGCTGTTGATGTTCTTGCTGGGCACTACGCGTGTGTTGAACGTGGTTTGGAAGTGACTGGAGAAGCGTTGACCCTTGCTCATGCTCACGCTTCTGATGTTGGCTTGTTGCAAGGCTGTTCGGATTTGCATAGTGTTCCCACATGGTATCGTGTTGAGTCAGCTTGTAGAGAGCTGCAGTCTCACAAGGCTGTCGGCATGGATGGCATCCCCGGTGAGTTGTATAAAGTTGCTCCACGCGCTGCGACAGCTGTTCTGATGCCGGTTCTTTTGAAGACATGGCTTCGACACGAGCCCCCACTGCAGTGGCTGGGCGGTGAAGTGGTGCCTACACCTAAGCATGGAGCTGATTTGACCCACCCCAAGTCTTGGCGAAATATCATGCTTTATGATACTGCCGCTAAGATTTACCAGAAATTGCTCCGAGCTGAGATTCGTGAGCATTGGCGCGCTCAAGACATGCAATGTGGCGCTCGGCCCGGGATTTCCACAGAAATGCACCACCATTTGGTTGCTTCCTTCATTAGATACGCCAAGCGCGCAAAGTTCCCTGCTGCTATCTTATTTGTTGACGGACAAGATGCGTTTTATGCGGTGTTTCGGCAAGTCATTTTGGGCGAGTCGACGTCTGCAGCCTGCACTTTTGTTCAGGCCATGACAGATGACCCTCAGCGGCAGGAAGACATGTTGGAACTGATCTGCGCCCTGCGTCGCAAGGAGGTTACTGGTTTGCCCCCTCATGTTGTTCAGAGATTGCGTGATGCCATGAGCACTACTTGGTTTCGAGTTCGTGGAAGCCCTAAAGTGATCCATACCACCTCGGGGGCTTCTCCTGGTGGCCCTCTTGCGGACTTGTGTTTCCAAGTGGGTTTTTCGTTTTTTCTGGATCGCTTGCATCAGGATTTGCGTAACCTTGGTGCCGCCGCTTGTTTGTTGAATGATGGCGACGCAGAATGTGAAATGCCTATTCCGACTTGGGTTGATGACATTGCTTTGTTGATCACCCATCCATGCCCTGAACAGCTTGCTGAACTTGTGCCGGTCGTGGCTGATCGTTGCCGCCGCAGACTCCAAAACATTGGCATTCAAATGAACATGAAGCAGGGTAAAAGTGAGTGCATGTTTTGCTTGTATGGCCGCAATTCTAGGGCTGTCCGCCGCAAGGTCCTTATCGACCAAGGCTGTGAAATCCTTGTGTCCGGTGAGCCAGACCAAACATTGCGAGTGACCGATAGATATGTGCACCTTGGCACACTGTTGAAGTGGGATGGCGACATGACCCCTGAGCTGCGAAAGAGAAACGCCATAGCCCATGAATCTTTCAGACAGCTTTGCAAGGATGTGTTTCGCAATCCTGCTCTCCCTCTGAAAACTAAAAAGCAGGTGTTTTGTTCTCAAGTTTTGCGATCTTTCTTGCATCATGCTGCCACTTGGGTTTTCAGTCGGGCCAGTGAGGCTGCTCGTTATCGCACATGCGTTATGTCCCTCTACCGCCGCCTTTTTTGCGCCCTGTTCCGGAGACATACGAAAAACACGACGGATGACGAGGTGTGCAACAAGCTGCTTTTTCTCCGTCCGGATCACATCCTTTATGTGGAAAGAGCCAGATATTACGGCCGCCTCTTGCGATGTGGTCCCAGGTCCTTGTGGGCCCTTCTACGGAAAGAGCAATCTTGGCTAAAGCACTTGCATGAGTCGTTGCAATGGATTGATTACATGGAGCCCATTGGTCTTGAGCATGGTGTGCCTACTGCGTTGCTG